AAAAAAAAAAAAAAAAGGAAGGATAGGATTAGACGCTTTTGATAATAAAATATTATGATTCCAATAGAGTACTGTTTTTGAGACAGTTTCACTTTGTCACCCTCTGTAGAGTGCTGTAGTATCACAGCTCAAAGCAACCTCAAACTCTTAGGCTCAAGCTGTTCTCTTTGCCTCTGCCTCCCAAGTAGCTGGGTCTATAGGCACCTGCCACAATGCCTGGCTATTTTTTCTCGCTCTTGCCCAGGCTGGTCTTGAAACTGTGAGCTCAGGGTATCCACCTGCCTTGGCCAACCAGAGTGCCAGGATTATAGACGTGAGCCACTGCACCCAGCCCTAGAGTACTGTTTTTTGTCTGCTTACAAAAATAATCAGAAAGGGGCCCTCACTAGAAGTATAGTACATAATGTAGCAAAAGTATGGCGTGTGGCAGATATGCAAGAATTGTTAGAATGAATAAACAGCAAGAAAGAGAGGTATAGAGGGTAATAATCGACTTAAAAGTAATGCATCATAAGTTCTGATTTACAAATGCCTGGCAGATTACAACTAGTGGTTATGAAAATTATATGTAGCATCTAGTCAAAATAAGCAGATTTTTAAATCATTAGAAAACGAATGCCTTTCCACTGAAATCATACTGCCAACGGATTTCAATTATCTATTCAGCCTGTGTCAGCTGAATTGTTTTTCCCCAAATATGACCACATGCACACAATTACCTGATTTATCTATAATTGCATCTATTTCTTCAACGACATCAAAATAGGCTTCGTTGTTGGTGTACTTTACCCCTGCCCGACGCCATGGGATGTTGGACAGCTGCCCGGTGGGGAGTGTATCCCCAACGTTACTACTGCCTAGAAATCAGAAAAGGAAAAAACAAAGCTGATGTGGAAAATGGTCATCAGAAAAAGCTATTGCCAGAAAAAAGAAAAAAAGAATGCTTTAGCTGCTTCGTCAATGTTAGGAGTTTTCTTCATTAAAGTTGTGGATGGTCTCCAGAACTGTCAGAGGCATAGCCATACCGACATGATCAAATTTCCAGAAGACAGAAATAGGCCATGTGTTTCTCTGTCTAGCTGCCAAACCAGGTTGAATTCATTTACTTATCTTTTGCTTCCTGTGTGTTAGTGGTAACCTAACCTGATTCCAGAGGCTGAACCACAGAATCTCATCCTGATGCCACTGATGAAAAGAGGCTGGTTATTTCTTCTGCCAATAAAATGTCTCCACTGCAAATACAGAGTTATAACTAGGCCATTTGGTATTCATCTTAATTTTACACTACATGCTGCCAAGGAGGCCTTAGTAGAGTAAACGAATGAAGAATATACTCTGGCTTTTCCCGCATTTCAGGTCAGCATGTCCCTATGGCTGCAATATAGCTAATTTTCAATATCTGACTAATTTCTGATAAACTGACAAGCATCTAGAAAAGAAGTCTGGTTGTCCAAAAAGTTTATCCTTGAGTGATGACTTACTTAACAACATTTTGGTTAATTTACATTTCTAAGTAGGATATGCTTAACCAAATTCTAAATTGTACAAAGTTCAGAAAGGTGGCTTTCAAAAAACTATCTTCTTACTACAAAAATACAACTATCATTAACATTTCTAGTAACACAGCAGTTCTCAGCCTGTGGGTCGCAACCCACAGGAACTGTATTAAAGGGCTGCGGCATTAGGAAGGTTGCGAACCACTGCATTGACACCAGGGTATTATCATTTTAATATAACAGTAATCTTCTGGCATATTTCTTTAAACATGTCCCCTATAAATAGGTGGCATTTATTATTTTTTCTATTTTAATAATTTTGTTTTAAATTGTGGTTTAAAATATAGTTGTAACTACACTGTAGATACGATTTTGTAGTCTACTTATGGCTGGTGTTCCTAACTCCAACTTGTTGCTTCCTGGAAGAATTTTCAAAAATCATTCCTTTAATCATGTTATCATCCTGCTCAAACGCTAATGTTTCTCCACTGGCTTTATGATACAAGCTAAATATTTAGCCTACCATTCAAGGCCTTTCTCAGCTTTCACCTCTCGATTTTAACTCAAACTTCTCAAGTGAAAAACAGTTCCATTTCTGCTAAAGAGGTTAATGGAAATCAAGGTTTTTCACTTCATGTGTGTTTTTTTGCATATACTTTCATCTATGAAGAATGCTTTCTCCTCACTCTCTTCCTAAATTCTACGAATTCCCTCTAGGGTGGCTGAGGGCTACCCAGTATAGGTACTCCATCCACTGAACCATTATCTTGAGCTTTATATTGCCTCAGGAGTCTATATTATATTTTTACGTTCTGTATTTCAGTAACTTTTTCTAACTATAAATATATATTTATTTTGGAAAATCAGAAAGTATAAAGCAAAAATAAAGATAATCAGTGTTTCCTTAGCTGGAGATAATCATTGTAAATATTTAGAATGTTATACATGTTTTTGTCTATAACATATAATGAAGAAAAACTTTTTATGGGTTTTTTTTTGAGACAGAGTTTCCCTTTGTCACCCTTGGTAGAGTGCCATGGTGTCATAGCTCACAGCAACCTCCAACTCCTGGGCTCAAATGATTCTCTTGCCTTAGCCTCCCAAGTAACTGGAACCATAGGCGCCTGCCACAATGCCCGGCTATTTTTAGAAATGCGGTTTTGCTCTGGCTCAGGCTGGTCTCGAACATGTGAGCTCACGCAATCTACCCACCTCAGCCTCCCAAGGGCTAGGATTACAGATGTGAGCCACTGTGCTCAGCTTTTTATGGATTTTGGGCTGGTTTTTCCACTTAATATTATATCGTGTATAATTTCCAATGTTACTACACATCTATAAAGTATGGAATTGCTTTTTAAAAACTCTTTTGAGGCTTGGTGCCTATAGCTCAAGCAGCTAAAGAGTCAGCCACACACACCAGAGCTGGCAGGTTCGAATCCAGCCCGGGCCTGCCAAACAACTATGACAACTACAACCAAAAAATAGCTGGGCACTGTGGTAGGTGCCTGAAGTCTCAGCTGCTTGGGAGGCTGAGGCAAGACAATCACTTAAGCCCAGGAGTTGGAGGTTTTTGTGAGCTATGATGCCACGGCATTCTACCCAGGGCGACAGCCTGAGGCTCTGTCTCAAAAAATAAAAAACAAACAATAAAGATCTCTTTTCAGTTGGGCATAGTGGCCCATGCCTGTAATCCCAGCACCTGGGAGGCTGAGGTGGGTGGATTGCCTGAGCTCACCAGTTACAGATCAGCCTGAGCAAGAAGAGCAACACCTTGTCTCTAAAAATAGCCAGGTGTTGTGGGAGGTCCTTGTGGTCTCAGCTACTTAGGAGGCTGAGGCAAGAAAATAGCTTGAGCCTAAAAGTTTGAGGTTGGTGTGAGCTACGATGCCACAGCACTCTACTGGGGGTGACATTAAAATGAGACTCTGTATCAAAAAAAAAGAAAAGGTCTCTTTTACTTGCATATTTTAATTAATTTTCCAGTCTTGCATTTAGGGTGTAAGTTTTAGGAGCACTGACACTCCACCTTATTTTTCTCTGAATTTCTCTTAATACTCACCCTAGTACTGAAGATGAATAGAGTTGCTAAATGATCTTTTTCTTTTAGGCTGTTCTCATTCCAGTTTTAGATTAATGCATTGGAGAGGGGTTTATAATGGTGGACAGTATAGTTGGAGTGGCATACAAAATTTCATAGGAATTCTTCTCAAAAAGACTTTAATACTTTCAAAAGAAAACTGTACCTAATTTCTAGCTACACTTAAGAATTAAGCCCAGGGTAGTGCCTGTGATTCAGTGGGTGGGATGTGGCCCCATATACTGAGGGTGGTGGGTTCGAACCGGCCTAAGCCAAACTGTAACAACCAAAAAAATATCTGGGGGCGGCACCTGTGGCTCAAAGGAGTAGGGCGCCGGCCCCATATATCAGAGGTGTCAGGTTCAATATGGGCCACGGCCGAAAAAAAAAGCACACACACACACAAAAGCCAGGCGCTGTGGCGGGTGCCTGTAGTCCCAGCTACTCAGGAGGCTGAGGCAAAAGAATCGCCTAAGCCCAGGAGTTGGAAGTTGCTGTGAGCTGTGATGCCACAGCACTCTACCAAGGGTGATAAAGTGAGACTCTGTCTCTTAAAAAAAAAAAAAAAGAATTAAGCCCAATTGGAAGTTTATCAACAAGTACAGGCCCACAGTGCCTGAGATCTCATAAGTAAACTAATTCTCATAAGTAGACCAATTTCCTGTTTTCTTTTTTCTTAATATAACTTTTGCATGTATATAAACAAAACAACTGGAGGAGACACTACATACTGCGTGGTAAAGAGTCTTACATGCTCTATATTATGGTATTGTGGGGCAGTAGCATGCTATTTGCATAATACTGTATTAAATATTAAAATGCCAAGCTGTAAACAGACAAAATGCTCTTCTAAGTGGCCTCATACACTGTCTTCCATGGGATTAAGTGGGATAATTTATTCAGTCTTATTATTTAGTGTTAAATAATAGTAATATGGTTGTAGCTCATAGAAAACCCTGTAATAAGAGAGTGAATACCAAAAGTTCTTTAACATTTAAGACTGGGCCTCTTACTAGAAAAGAAATATGTATACAGTACATCCATTTTCCCCACTGCTAGCAACTTTAATTCTGGCCAAACTGGACTCCTTTAACGATCTGTCACATCATAAGCCAACAGTGAATTGCTCATGAAGTTTTAATTGCTCAGTTTCAGGTAGAGTATGCTTTTATCTTACCTGTAATAGAGTTGACAACAGAACGTAGAATTGTTGGTGGTTTAATCAGTTCTTTCAAAATGTTAGATTCTGTAGCCAGTGGAAATCCATTGTCTAACATTTCTTCCAAGAGTTCATATACAATGACCACATTATCCTTAATTGCAGCCTCTGAACACTCACCAAAGTAGTCCTAACAAAAGATACATAATATTGTACAATATAAGTCATGAATAAAGACTTGCTAAATACTTTTTGTTTTGAAGAATAAACTCAGTAACATAATTAATTGTTTAAGATGTTAAAAACAGGGTGGCGCCTGGGGCTCAGTGAGTAGGGCGCTGGCCCCATATACTGAGGGTGGAGGGTTCAAACCTGACCCCAGCCAAACTGCAACAAAAAAATAGCCGGGCATTGTGGTGGGCCCCTGTAGTCCCAGCTACTCGGGAGGTTGAAGCAAGAGAATCGCCTAAGCCCAAGAGCTGGAGGTTGCTGTGAGCTATGATGCTACAGTACTCTATTGAGGGTGACAAAATGAGACTCTGTCTCTAAAAAAAAAAAAAGATGTTGAAAATACGTAAAGCTGAAGTGGGGGAAGCCCTCTTATAGTACTAACGTTATTCCTCAATATTTTCTTAGGATTTTTAGATTGAATTGCAACTAGAACATGAACTACAAACTTCATTTGCCCTGATTACTGCAAAACACACGTGAATAAGTTATATTATTTGGTTCTGTTCAGTAAGCCAGGAGGAAATAATAAAATATAAATACAGAAGAGTTGCATAACCAATAAAAATCTTGGGGTCATCCAGAGAACTTTGTACCAGGGCACTATTGTTTCTGCTCCTGGGTATCTGTAAGATTGGTTCCAGGAACCTCCACAATAGCAAAATCCACCAATTCTCAAGTCCCTGAAATAAAATGTCATATTATTTTATGGAACTTATGCACATCCTCCCATATACCTTTAAGTCACTTCTAGGTTACTTATCATACCTAATATAATGCAGAGGTTATGTAAATAGTTGTTACACTGTTTAGGGAATAAATAAGAAAAAAGTTCTGTACATATGTAGTACAGATGCCGTTTTTTTCTTGATCTGAGGTAGGTTAAATTCATGGATATGAAACCTACAGACACAGAGAGCCAGTTGTAATTTGTAATACATGTGAAAAAAATTGGCCAGGCGAGGTGGTTCATGCCTGTAATCCTAGCACCCTGGGAGGATGAGGCAGGTGGACTGCTTAAGCTCAGGAGTTCAACAGCAGCCTGAGCAAAAGTGAGACCTCGTCCATACTAAAAACAGAAAAAACTAGCTGGACAAAGTGGCAGGCACCTGTAGTCTCAGCTACTCGGGAGGCTGAGGCAATAAAATTGCTTGAGCCCACGAGTTCGAGGTTGTTGTGAGCTATTATGATGCCATGGCACTGTACCCAGGGTGACAGAGTGAGTAATCTGTCTCAAAAAAAAAAAACAAAAAAGTGTTCTTCATAGCCATGTGTGCCACTGTATACCCTACAGAAAAGAGTTTATGAACTTATGCTTAGTTAAAATGAGAGAAGAGAGACAGTACGCATCAAAAGCTAGGTAATTGAAGAATATAATTGTATCTCACCTCCAACTAACTTGGGTAATGTAAGTTAGAAAGGTCAGATGGTGGGTGGTACCTGTGGCTCAGAGGGTAGGGTGCCAGCCCCATATACTGAGAGGAGCAGGTTCAAACCCAGCCCCGGCCAAACTGCAACAAAAAAATAGCCAGGTGTTGTGGTGGGTGCCTGTAACCCCAGCTACTTGGGAGGCTGAGGCAGGAGAATTGCCTAAGCCCAGGAGTCGGAGGTTGCTGCGAGCTGTGACGCCACAGCACTCTACCGAGGGCGATAAAGTGAGACTTTATCTTTAAAAAAAAAAAAGAAAGAAAAAAGAAAGGTCTGATGGATAGCAAACCTGAAAAGTGTCAGCAACTCGATGCAAGAACTCAATTACGAAGAGAGGTGGCACTTCCGTCTGTATGACAGACACAAAGAAGAGCTTATCCCGGTAGATACTGATGAGGTAGTGGTGAGGGGTTGAAATGACAGGTGGTACATTCTCAACATCAGCAGCTTTCTCTTGAGCTTCAAAGAAATAATCACAGACAGACTGGCTTACAACGCTCTTCCAGTGCTTCTCTAGAAATATGTCACCAGAACAGTTTATGAGAAATAGACTGTGGATCATTTTCTGTTGGAGAAAAAAAGGTCTGAATTTATTATCCATCAAAACGTATCTTTTTATTACACTGACACAAAACCAGACTAAGGCAATGAAAGAAACTATAGACAAATATCACTTATGAATACAGATGTAAAAAATCTCAACAGAACACTAGCAAACCCAATTCAGTAATATATAAAAAAAAATCATACACCCTGAGCAAGTAAAATTTATTCCAAAGAAACTTCCCTAACCCAATAAAGAGCATCACTAAAACCCCACAGGTAATATCATATTTAATGGTGAAAGGCCAAAAGCGCTCCCCCAATAACAAGGATGTCCATTCTCACCATTTATATGATAGTTGGAAGTTCTGCCCAGGGCAGTTAAGCAAGAAAATAAAACAAAAGGCTTCCAATTAGAAAGGAAAAGCGGGCGGCGCCTGTGGCTCAAAGGAATGGGGCACTGGCCCCATATGCCGGAGGTGGCGGGTTCAAACCCAGCCCTGGCCAAAAAAATGCAAAAATTAAATAAAATAAAATGTTTCTTAAAAAAAAAAAAAGAAAAAGAAAAAAGGAAAGGAAAAGTCAAACTGTCTGTGTTATAGAAGATACAACCTTGTATACAGAAAATCCTAACACACACTATCAATTGTATTTCCACATACACAGCAATAAATAATCTGAAAATGAGACTAAGAAAATAGTTTCATTTACAATAGCATCAAAAATGTTAATACTTAGGAACTGAATTTAACAAAATAAGTATAAGACTTATACAGTGCATGTTACAAAACATTGTTGAAGTAAATTAAAAAGACCTGAAAAATGGAAAGACATTCCATGTTCATGGATTGAAAGATGTAATCTTATTAAGATGGCAGTACTCCCCAAATTAATCTACAGATTTAATGCAATCCCTATTAAAATCTCAGCTGCCTTCTTAGTGGAAATTGACAGGCTAATACTAAAATTGACAGGGAAATGCAAAAGACCAAGTCCTCCAGAACAGATGGAGGACTCACACTTCCTGATTTCGAAATTTACCACAAAACTATTCGGTTGAGAGTCCCAAAATTAACCCTTACATTTATGGTAAATTGATTTTCAACCAGGATGCCAAGCCCATCTATTTAGAAAGAAAATAGCCCTTTAAATAAGTGGTGCTGAGACAAATGGATTTCCACATACAAAAGAAGACTGGATTTCTACCTCATATCCTATACAAAAAAAAAAAAAAATCGCAAAATGTATCAAAGATCTAAATGGAAGACCGGATGAGGTGCCTCACACCTGGGAGGCTGAGGTGGGTTGATTGCCAGAGCTCAGGAGGGCAAGGCCAGCCTGAGCAAGAGTGAGACCTCCATCTCTAAAAATAGACAGGTGGTGTGATGGGCTCCTGTAATCCTAGCAGTTACTTAGGAGGCTGAGGAAAGAGGATCCCTTGAGCCCAAGAATTTGAGGTTATTGTGAGCTATGACGCCATGACACTCTACTGAGGGTGAAAGAGACTCTGTCTAAAAAAAAAAAAAA